TGTTACTATACTATTTATTGAATTATTTATAATTTTTTGCTTTATCTAAATTTTTAAAAAGAAATCAATAAAAAAAATTTTTTTAAATTATTTATAATTTTGATAATAAATATTTTAAAATTTTTAATAATAAAATTCTATTATTGTAATATAAAATAGATTTATATAATATAAATATGTTTATAATATAGTATAGATTTTATAGCTTAGCAGTTAAGTTTTTATATCTCTATATTTAAGGTTGATAGTTTAAGTCTAGTTAAAAAAAAATTCAGAAAGATTTTAGTTTTTGTAAATCAAAAAAAACAGTAATTGAATACAAAATTCTATAAATAAAGACTAAATGCAATATATAACTAAAATAGAAATTTTAGAAATAAATTAATTTTGTAAAGTGCAAGTACTATATATAATAGTAGTATTACAGAAGGTTTATTATATAAAAAATTATATAAACAAGTTTTCTAAAAATAGAACAATATCAATATCTTTACATCTAATTTGTAAAAACTTAATTAAAAAGATAACATTAAAGTAATATAAACAAAATAATAAGAGAAGTAATGAATATATAAAAGATTTGTAATTAAGAATTGATTTTTCAAGAATTAAAACTATTTTTGATATTGTAAAATATCTTAATATAGAAGATAATTGTGAGTATAAAAAGTTATAATCTGTTCTATATAACTAAAAATACCAAACTAAAGTTTTGATCACATCTATATAAAAATTTATAATAAAAAAAAAAAATATACTAATATAAATATTATATTAATGACAGATAAGAAATAACTTAATTAAAAGTAATAGTAATACTATAATAACTAATAATTGAAAGAGATTACTCAAAACATAGTTTTAATAAAACTATAAAAAAAAGTACTTAAAAGATAGATTAAATGTACACAACTTGAAGAAAATAACATTAAAATCAAAAAAACATAAATCAATAATAGTAACAAAAGATCTGAGTTGAAATATGTATTATAGTATCTGTATTAAAAAGTTAGTAACAACAGCAGAACCTTGACTTGAGATATAAACTATAAAACAGACCAAAAATAGTAACTCAAAAGAAGCAAATGACCTAACAGACCAATTTGAAATTGTTAAAATAAGTTATAAAATATGAAAAGAATTATGTAAGTTATTTAATATAAATAAACAGAAAGCAAAATCCAAGTTAGGTGTGAGTGAGACACAATACAAAACTTTGGTAGGTTTAGATTACAGATAAATTAGTCTGAATCTCATGTTCAATAAATATATAGAGTAATAAATAATGTATAATGTTAAAACTTGCACAAGCTATGATGATATATACTAATAAAAACTGAAGGGCATGACCTCACCTTAACATTAAAAAAATAAATAATAATAAATATGTTTATAATTTTAACAATAGGTAGGTTAATAGTTAATTGATTATAATTTTGGCAATAAATAAATTTATAAAGTTTAACGTAGGTTTAAGATTTTCATAATTTACAATTTACTATATTTTGCCATCCAAACCACAATTTTTACAGTTTTATATACATTGGCAGTTTAATATTATATTAGTGCAAATTTTATATTTACGATTTATAACTATCAAAATTAAAAATACCTAGGCAAAAGCTATTAAATATTTTTACAATGGGTGGTTTGACTCTCAAAATATAGTAGTATTAAGTTATTAGTTATTAGTAATTTCAGCAGTAGTTAAGTTCATTATTTAGTAGTAGGTGTTAATGATTTTATGATTTTAATAGTAAATAACAGGTGTTTATTTTTTATAATGTGCGCTCTGATACATGTTTTAAACATTTGATACATTATAACCTTAGATAAATCATTAACCGATCTCAGCTTCAACTACAAAATTTATTGTAAGTATACCATTTAGATTTATTAATTTTCACACCTATAATATCGAATAAGATGGGTGGTGCTTTACACCATCGCACTAGTTTTTATGCATTCGGAATACATGGACCCTACAAAAAATAAATATTAAAATAAAGTTAGAATGTTAATATTGTTCAAATGAGAAAAAAAACACATACACAGTAAGCGCCTCCACATGAATTGCTATAGGGACAACACACCAAATCTACTCCTCCGCAATTAGGAAGTCTACAAGTACATATATAATTATCCGTACACTACAAATATAATTATTCGAAATCAATATAAAAAAGGGCATATATTTAAAGCATATAGAATACTATCGTAAAAAAATCAATACACACACAGATAGTGTTACCGTTACATGTGTTGCTGTTGGGACAACAAGAATCATTTACGCATGTAAAACCACTATCACACTGCAAATATAATTATTCGAAATCAATATAAAAAATGACATATATTCAAAGAATGTAGAATAATATCATAAACAAATCAATACGTACACAGGTAGTATTGCCGTTACATGTATTGTTGTTGGGGCAACAAGAATCATTTACGCATGTAAAACTGCTATCACACTGCAAATATAATTATACAAAGTTAAAAGGTAGAATAAAACAAATACAAAGAGTAAAATAAGTACATACACAGCTGTTTCCACACAATGGTTGGCCAGTAGAGCAAATACATTTTCCTTCTTCACAAGTCTGACCATCAGCACACTGAGAATATAATTATTTGATGAAAAATTAGAAAAGAATACTGAACAAAATTGTTAAAGTACTAAAAAAAAAAAAAAGCATACATTGTTACCACAAGATCCGCAATTTTTCGAGTCCTTTGTGAGATCGACACAAGCATCGTTGCAATAAGCTTTAGTCAGATCATTGTTCTTATGAGGTTTATGATACTTTACATGGTTTCCATATGATGTGGCTAAATAATAAACCAAAAGAAACCATATTATTATAGAGTTTTTAAATTTTTATAAGCAGTAAGAAAAGAATTTTACCACAAAGAACACATATGAAAACAATGAAAATGGGAAACAGTCTAATTTGCATTTGAACGAAATAGGTTTAGAGTGATTTTTTAGTAAGTATAATTTGGGAGAATTAAAGATATTGTTTAAGATATACTGATTTATATAATCTTACCATTACATGCATGTTATTGATCTTGAGGAAATTATTGTAGCATAAAATTTAACAAAATTTTTGTATTGGTAAAAGTTTAGATGTTTTTATTTTTTTAAAAAAACCCCCAATATTCGAGCTTTTTAGTCATTTATGTAACAATAATAACGTATTAGAACACCAAAAAAATGAGAACAAATGTCTTGTGCTTAATTAAATTTTAGCCTTATGCGTATATTATGTCGTGGTTAAGAAAACTGGGTTGTGCTTAATCATCAAAGATCGTATCGCATAGATGTTGTTAGCAATTGTCACAGGAGACTTTTTTATTAACCAATTAAATTAAGTTGAAATAGCCATATCTATATGATTTATTAAGTTATATATATATATCGATATTGATAAATTCATTGGAATAATACAAATACGTCCACTTTCCGAAATTTCGTGGTTGAACGGTTAAATAAATAAAATAGCATTAACATATAATATAAAACATTATAAACAAATTCGGACAAGACATTGTTTTTCACGTATGTTTTTGCTAATCATAAATTCACGATCTAGTTGGTTAATGAACATTGGTATAAATTTTTATTTCGATTATTTAAATTTATAAGTTAAATTAAGTGATCGTATATTATGCTCCCGGCAGTGATTATGATTAATAAATAATATTATATAATTATGGTTATTCTGGCAGGCCAACTTTGCTAAATTTTTTTAAAAAATAAATGTTTATTTTATATCATTTTAGATTCGCAGCACAGAATCCTAAAACAATATTAAAATATATATTTCAAAGAAATATTTGTACGTAAAACAATTCTAATAACGATACAAAATGCACAGTAATGTAGCACACTTTTTATTTGGAATAACAATATGTAACACGAACAAAGTATTCATTAATATATTTATATGGGTAGTATAATACAACAAAGAAGATCAAGTTCATATAAGGGAAAACCTGTCACCGGACTTTCAATTATATTTTTAATCCAGAACGCCATCTTGGGAAAATCTATCGGGTTTAATCAATTATATTTGTACAAATATAATTAAAAGCCCGATGATAGATTTTCTCTAGACGACATTCTGGATAAAAATATAATTGAAAGCCCGATGACAATTTTCCTTGGCAGCAATCATATACAAATAATAGGATAACATTTAGTGTCGTACAATTTTGAAAGCAATGCACTTAAGGGCTAACTTAAGGGCTAAAGAGAGTAGATAAAAAAACACTGATCATTTTATTATGTGGTATTGCTATCCTATATCAATTGTAACATTATAATATTTCAACACGATAACATTATGGCAGGGATGGCAAATAACCAGGTCTTTTGCTTGAACTCAAGACCAATAGACCAAGTTTTGGTCAGAACCAAATGACCTTTCACATTATACATATTGACCAATAAGAATTCTTTATTTTTTAAAAAAATCTTTATCTTAATCGATTGAATAGCTTTAAAACGAATGGTTAGACCAAAAGATACAAACCAAAAGACCTTATGGTCTATTTGTCTGTTTGTCTTTAATGATTATGGGACGTGCATATTCGTGTAACTTATGGTCATGTGTCTAAAAAGTAGCCAATCACAATGCAGAAAGCAGACAAGCCATTTAGTAATAGAGATCTATGAACTTTCTTTTAAATATATCTATTATTACAAAAAGTTATTGTATGTGTTGTAATATTTTGTCGTAGTAAAGTCACATATATATAAGGTTTTTTGGTTTGTTTTTTTTATACTGAGTTATCATGTTAAACATGTGCAATAAAAGAATGATTTCACAAAAAATATGTTATATTTATTATTGTATATAAAATTATTAAAAATAACTGGCAAGAAAGAATTTATTAATATGAACTAATTGTTGCCAGTTTTAACAGGTAAATTTATAAAGCAAAATACAAATAAATAAACTATAAATTATAATTTTCCCAAAAATAATGAATTAATTTTTGACTTCTTCAAAAGATTTTTTAATGCAGTCCCTATTACGCAAATTATTCCACCAATTTTTAACATTAGGCCTGTTATCCCATAAATCAGAATGGGCGGCAATACCATAGGCTAAATTAGTACAAGGACAATGAAAGATATCAGCTAAAGAAAATTCTCCAATCAAATATTCCTTTCCTTCCAAAAGTTTCTCATAAACATCTAAAACTTTACTAAGGTCTTCACGACCTTGCTTAATGATTTCAGGGTCAGGGTCTTTACCTCGAAATTTTTTAGCAAACACTTCTTGTCCTATGATTTTTGAGACCGGTGAGTCATAGTAACATGATTCATAAGAAATGAATTGTTCGACTAATCCGGCTTTATGAACATCGCTGGGAATCAAGATCGTATCATTATATTTGCCTTGGTATTTAGATACAAGGTAACGACAAATTGCACGAGATTCGTTAATTACATAATCTCCATCCAGAAGGACTGGGATTTTTCCGCTATTATGATTTGTTAGTAATCTAATTACTTTGTATATATAAACATATAGGACATGTAGTAGATAATACTTACAATGCATGCTTATTCGCGATATAATCTTTATCTTTTAAAGCTTGAAAACTAGCTGGAGGTTCGAATTCGTAAGGAATACCTAATTCCTTAAGGCATATGACAACTCTAAGAGTAGGTGTTGAAATAGGATATCCAATAAGTTTGATAGTCATGTTTTTTAGTATTCAATATGATTTGAAGATTAACTTAAAGTTGAGAAAGGCGAAATGGACGTGTATTTAAGCGTTTTGTGCATTCCTTATACTTAATGAGGTTTGCTTTCATTTCTGTTTACTAATTGTTATTATTTTTCTAAACTCTTCCATTCGGTTAGTAATCACTACTAACGTCATCTGGTGTGCGTACGTAGAACAACAGGAGGGAACGTTGATGTTACACGACTGATCCTTCATCCGGTGTGCAACATATAAAAAAATTATAGATCATTTCGATAGTACATGTTATGATTATAACCCAACACCATCAAGGATCAGTCGTGTAACATTGACGTTTCCTAGAACAGCATGGAAAATTAATACGACAGGATGACACACACGTCAGAACCTTCAATAAATGTAGATCTGCATCAAAGAAGTACCCTAACAAACGGAATTTCATCATTTTCTTATTCACTCAGGTTTCACTTTGTCCTAAATTAATTTTTAATCAAAGATTGTTAAACCAAACAGACCCTTGGTGAATCTGTCCGAGAATTAACCGATACAAGAACAACTTTTGGATCTGTAGAACCTTGTAACGTGTAAATGTTAGTGCCGGAGATCTTGTTTAGCCGATGCATTAATTTGCTGCATACATATTTTATGGGCAAGACTAGTGTGAAAAATAATTGGATCACAATCTACTTTATTCTAAATTAAATCACGTAACGGGAAAATTTTATGCCTTTATAGTATACCAGCTTCTATTATAACTGATTATATCTTCCCTTATTATAAGAGAAAATGTGAATTAGTCTTGCCATAACCTTTTCTTCCCTTTTACTCATTGCTACGTATACGTAAACATTTGTTTAATCACTAATACGTATGGAAACCACTATTAAAATAGACTAGCATAATTGGTTAATTAACTTTAATATTAATTGTCCTAATTAGTCATCGTATCACGTAGTACCCTAGTCTGGATCCATTTTACGTACCGAAAAGACAATTTAGCCGACATCATGCAACGTGTAAAATTTATTGTCAATATATACATATGTAGTACATCAACTAATAATCTGCTAAATCGTTACGTCATACGATGTCGGCTAAATGGCGAGCCGTACGGCGAAAACAAATTCCATGATTGATAATCGAAATTTTCTATCGTTAAAATTCCAAATACGTAAATTTATCCCTGATTACAAATCTTATATTAACATCTTCTAAAGCTACAAGACTATGTGAACCGATTCCAAGGATCTTAGAGTTGTATATTGTTGAAATTACTGATTAAATCATTATATATCCTGAATTAACAGCATAATAATGAGTATACATAAACGATGTCAAGAGAAAACCAAACATCTATCATAAAATTTATATGATCGAAGTTTTTCTTTAATCTTAACCAGTGATGGATCGGTCCGTCCTGGTCAATCTCGGTCCATGTAGGTCCGATTTAATATCAGACAGAAATTCGTTTGATTGGCTGACATATGGGCGAATCGGCGGAATCGGGTCTTAGCTAAAGACACCAAATTTTAAATTTGAACCTCATATTTTCCCATATTTAATTGGTCAAATATACAAAACAATTACTCGATATGCCCTAATAATTTTAAACTATGCCTTAAGTAATTTTAAAGATATAATGATTCTGTAAAATTATGCATCAAACCCATTTGTTTCAGCCAAAACCCATCTGCTTCCTATTGGTTAAAGCTTTATTTGGACATATTATTTGATGTCTGGGTCCTACTAGAACATATAATTTGACATTAATTTTGTACTGTATATTGTTATCTTTAAAGAGTGATTTGTTTTTTGTTTTTTGTTTTTTTTTTAAAAAAAAGAGAGGTTTATTCTTTATCTCTTTATTAATTAGTTAATTTACATATATAAGATACTTGTTAAATAAACTAAGCTAAAAAAGATGGAAATAAGAGTTACTTTACTCTTAACCTATTTTTTGCTAAAATGATTAGTAAACCTTTAGTCTATAATAAGATGACTAAGAGAAAATTATCTATAAATGATATAATGATATTTCTTCATTTAGTAAAGAAGGTAAAATTGGTTTAGTTTTAGTTAGTATTGAAAGTTTTAAAGGCAATATAATTAAAAAAACAGATTTATGTTGGATCACTTTAGAAGAAAATTAAAGTTCTTTATATATTGCAGAAATAATATTGTAATAAATAAGAAGAGCATATTTGTATTTGTGTTTATTATTTTCAAATAATGTCAGAATGTTATTAGTTATTAAAACTAATAATATTTACTTGTTAATATATTATAACAAGGTATTTCTAGCTTGTTTGTAGTTTTATACACAATCTGTATTATTAATGTTATAAAATATAAGTGATTTTAAAGATAATTTAGAAGATGTATAATAGTTTTAAAAGTATTTTAACATCTTAAGCAAATATACTTTAGATATTTGGTAACATTTTTCTAATAAAGAAAAAGATGTATAGATAGTTTTTTTAATAGTAATTTGATTTTAAAGTTTTTAATATTAAAAAAGATAAATTGAATACTATATAATATATATTGTTGAAATAGCAACAAATTGATATTATTTTGTAAAATATATTAGTAAGAAATTTTTTATTAATAAAACCAAGTCAGTTTATTTGTAATTTGGTGTATCTGTTTTATTATAGTTTTAGTATGTGCAAAAATTATCAAAAAGTTTTGAAATAAATTAGTTATATAAAAATTTTTACTATATAGAAAAATATTATTTTGAGTTTTTTGAATTTGAAGTTTTTTGTCAAAAGTGATTGTAAGTGTATAATTATATATTACTCTTTTAGTACTAGAAGAAGGTAGATATGTTGCTGCTTGTTTAGCATAGGATAATTGTATAATTGAATAGATTATATAAAGTTAATTAGATCAATAAATAAAAGATTATTGGTATGTATTTTTATATTAGCATAAAGGTTAGCACAAAGATTAACAGAGTTATTAAAACATTTAAATAAGAAGACCAAAAGTTTGTAAAACATTCAAAAGAGATATAAAAATATTAAAACTAATATTTTAATATTATATAAAAATTATTTTCTATGTTTTGTTAACTATATATTATATAAAGTATTATAGTTTTCTTGTTGAAGTTAGCTTTTATTAAGGTATTTCAAAGTAATATTGAAGAATTAGTAAAGAAGCAAAAGGTTTGGCTAAGATTAGCTATATTTTTTGATTAAAGAGTTGATATATTGTAAGTAATATTAGAACTAATGTATTTTTAAAATTATTTAGATCAATATAAATATTTTTTTTACAATATACTTGAAGGTTATAGATTAATTTTGTTGTATTAAAGTAATGTTTTTAAATATGCATCCTTGGTATGCTATTAGTATATTGTTAAAATATAGATGTAATGTTAAGTTTTAAAAATCTTGTTAAAAAGATGTTGATTTTTTTAAAGGTCATATTTTTAGTAATTATTCAATTCTTTTTGTTAAGTATTTAGTTAGCCAAAATGTATAAATTTAATTGTAAAAAAGTTAAAGATGGATTTGTAGATGCAGTTATTAGGTTTTGTATTAAATAGAACTAGTAAAAACATTAACTTTAAGATATTTTTTGATATTGTAATGAAAATTATTTTATATCAAAAGTTCAGTATTAGTTATATTTAAGAATTGTTTAATAGACAGAATGGTAATTCTAATATAGTAGTTGGGTTGTTATCCTCCAAGTGGCAGGTCTAAAGTTCAAATCCCACTTATGTTAAAATTTGTAAATTATATCTGCATTATAGTAACTGTCTTCTGTTAATCAATTGGCCTTATGTAGCTGTTACCCAGGTACACCAAGTTGGGTTCTACCAACATTGGGAACTTAGGCATCTATGCAAAGTGTAATATTACATATATATAGAGAAATATATAACCAGTGTTGTATAAAACTTCAGTGCAAACCCATCATAAGATCATCAGACATAGAAGACTAAGGAACTGAGGTAATAGAAACCCACTTGGAAATTTTTAAATAAAGAGGTAGCATGAACTTTTGACAGTACTATCAGACCAGTTGAAGCCTATGAAACACCTTCATAAGAACTGAAAGTTAAAATAGAACATCAAATATATGTAGAAAAACACATAACCAACCAGGCTGCCAGATTTGCCAGAGAAAAAGAATATATAATATATCATACTGGGCCATCTGAATTGGTAGTCTAGAATAAGATTGATGGTTCTGAGTTGCAGCTAGTAGAAGATGATGAAGATGATGCCAGGAAGATAGATACTAGAGTTCTAGTGAACTTTACAAGAATAAAAATAGTGTAATATAGTAATTAAACAGGTAACTCCTGTGACTGCAAGTGTTAGATAACTATAGCATGTTGCATTAGGGTGTGCGATGTACTATATAAATCAAAACTCTATGTAGTATCATATAAAAATCTATTATCAAAGATTTTTGTGTAACCATATCAAGCACCAATTTTATTAATTAAAAAATATATCAAATATCAATATTTAATTTATTACAAATAACAATAACATCAATATTATTATTAAAATATATTAATATGATTATTAAAATATAGTAATATAATAATTTTATTTAATTTAATAAATTGTTAAAAAGATTAGAAGCAACATTAGACCCAATTTGTGGCCAAATAGAGTTCTTGAAGTGGGTATTTTTTCAATTTGCTTGTACTTCTTTTAATCTTCTAATAAATTTTCCTTATCAATTTTTCTTGAAGATAAGCAAAGCTTAGATTGTTTTACTAGTTGTGACATATTAGGATGTGTTTTTAGGTCTAATATATTGAAAAGACCTTTTACTTTTTGCTGATGAATAATAATAAAATAGATTCAAGTTTAATAAAATGATACAGTTTAGGAAAGTTATATAATGATGATTCTTTGTTTATGCAGAATTCATCAAATTCATAAAAAAAATCATTATCATGCAATAGCAATTTATATAAACCCAAACTATCCATTTTTTCATTTTTAAATCATCTTCTAACT